TATTAGCATTAAGAAAATTTTAAATAACAATATGTATACGTACATTATTAATTCCAATATCACGCTATATATAACTAATACTGAAATATTCGAATTTATACTAATATCTGATACTGTATAACGTTTGAGCTTTCTTTACAATGCCTTTTCGTGCAGTTTAGCAAATTATTTGACACAAATTAATTTTAACTATTACATTTATACTCTAGTTTGGCTGATTATTTGATATATTTGCGCTTAATCTATGAACCTTTTTACCTATTTTTTCTTTTTTCGTGCTGGAATAGTTTGAGGATCTGTATTTTGTTTGTAGAAGCAGAGAATCTTCACTTTCTACTACCATTTTCTACTTTACATCTTTTAACTGATTCTACCTGAACTCTGATTTGCGCACCACTTTTAATACGAGCCATCGGATCCACATTATGATTTAAATCATATAAATAGTAAGATAACTGAGAAATAAATCTTGATTTTGCAACGTTATAATGTTCTTTGAACTTATCCAATGCAGCACATAATAGTTCACCAGCATTTCGATAATCTAATTTAACCTCTTCTAAAAATGTACAAATGGTGAAATATCAATATCTTCACAATCTTCATTTGGTTCTTTCTACTCAATATCTGAAGTACTGCTTGTTTTGTTATTAAGATTCAGAATACTAGATAATGTTAGTTCACTATAGTGTAAATTTCTTGTTGTGGAACTTGTTGTGTATGAAACAAGGCATAGAATGAATTATTATGAGCAACATAACCAAGTGCAATATAAGTATAATTTGTACGGTCATTTGGTGTTAATGACAGAATAAAGTTAGATATTGAAAGATGAAATTTCATTGAGATAGCTTACATGGGGTACTGTTTATATCAACAAAACAAGAGCATATAGTGATTTTGTTATTTACAATATAAAAAATATCTGTGTCTTGTTGTATACTAGGTATTAAATATTCATTTTCAATATTTGTTCTTTGAATCTGTTCTATATTTATATGTTCCTATCTAGGGCATAAAAAGTGTTTAGCAAGTTGTAAATAGTCAGGATGCATGTTGGCAAAACCAAGTAAACAACGTTTATAAAATCTTTTCATATTAACAATGATAAATTAGAATACTTGAATAGGATTGTATACTTGTGTTCTGTTAAATATAATATCTTTTAATATTTTAAAACTATGTTCAATGTAGTTATTAGTATTATTTTTACAAATTGATAAGTTTAAACAAAATGAAAGTATCCAAAAGTGATGATATTCCTATAGTAGTTCAAAATGTCTTTTTAATTGAAAGTAATTATAATAAAACTCCTGTTTAAATTCATGATAATATAATTCTATTTCTAAATTTGATTTAGCATATAGAACTTTTTTTATTTTGCTATAATATATATATGATCTTCTTTTTAAACTTATACTTGAAATTATAAATCTATCTTCAAAATACTTGTAGCATGTAGAAGATATATAAAAGATAAATTGCTTTTAGATAGTACAATTTTAAAACATTTTGTATTGTATCAGAATTATCTGTAAGAAATATTGCAGGCTCTAATTGTAGACCATTATTGTAAAAAGCATAAGATAAAAGAATAGTCTTTAACAAGTTTAATATTTTTTTTTAATATTATTTCAAGTTTGTCCAAAGTTATAAAAATTCCAAGCAAAAGAGTACAATTGTGCAGCTAGTATACATAAGTGTAATTAAGATATTAAGAGACTTAAATGATACAGATACATCTAAATACAGTTTGGGACAGGATAAGACATCCACTTTTTATATAGTAGCTTAAAATCGTTATAACTTTTTTAAAAAAAATTAAAATAAAA